CCAGCTCTACTGCTTGAAGTGGAGATTTCTGCTGAAACCAGATTTCACACAGCAGTGTTGTGAGCCTCAATGTCAGATGTTGACTGTGGTATAAATGGTTTAATAGGAAAGGCAATAAGTAAAGTTAGTGAAGGGAAGTCTATCTCAAGACAAGCCTCTTCTATGAACGTTTGCTGAAGCAAAGCTAGGGCTGCTAAAGTTCTGTGGACCATAAATCGTTTCGAGGGTGGGTTGGTGACCTGATTCAGGAATCTAAATTGACCAAGGGCTCCCCTGTGTTGTCTGAGGAAGCTGGGTGTTCTTAGCTTACAACTTCAGGACTGCAGAAACCCCTTTTACCTCTAGCTACCTTGTTCCTCACCATAAAACAGTGACTTGGTTGATAGCAGACTGTTACGTTGTAGGTCACAATCCTATCTTCCAAAAGTAAGTTCTGTAGGGGCTTGGCCATGCATGGGTGAGTATGCTGGGTAAGGACCATTTGTGCATACAATACTATAGTGCAGAGCATCCAGTCAAAAAATAGGAGTTATGGAATTTGTTCCTGAGGCATGAGATGCAGGAGCCCTGCCCCATCTGCAGCTGACACTGAATCTGCTACGAGACCTGCCCCATCTGCAGCTGACACTGAATCTGCACTAACTTCATCTGGCCTGCCTGCTTGCCTGTCGTGGGCTTGACAAGTAATACTTTGACTAGTACTGTAGATCATGTTATAGGCAGAACTCTGATTTCGCTGGCATGCCTTATTTTGTGATCGTGGGGCATTGGATTGGGTGGGGCCGTGCAGATCAGAGTCCAGTTGCCAACTTTCATGGGGATCTATGTCTTCTAATCCCCTCAGTCAGTTAACTGCTTTTTTTTTCTTGGGCAGTGAGTTCTGCAAGCTTCTGCTCCAAGAACGTGTGCTAGGTTGCTCTGTCTATACTGGCAGAGCTCATTTGGGGCATAGGGCATGGTTTTTGACTGGGTTTGACTAAGCAACCTATTGTGAGATTTGTATCTATTCTGTCTTTAAACCAGTATTACTTTTCCAGGAAACCAGTGGCCCAACTACAGCACTAGTCAGCAGTCCCATTGTCTCACTGATGCATGCAAAGAGACCTATCTATTTCAAAGCTTAATTGTCCAAGAAGAAACTATATGTTACAATGCAGTTACAAGTGCTGGTGTATGTGGGGAGACATGAGCTGAAGTCGTGGAACAACGGCTAGTGGGAAGCTCAAGCAAAGGCTGTGTATGTGTAGGTGAGGGAAGAAGTGGGATGATTCCACGTGGAAGTGAGATGACACCCAACTTGCTGTCTTTGTGTATAAGTGTGTGGCTCTAGTTTTCACGTCTGGGGGTGAAAAGGGGAGTGCTGTGGCTAGCATGAAGCATTTATGTTCCTGACCTGCTGTTTATATTATACCATTGCCTCACTCCCAGCTGCAGTCCCTATCACAGAATGTAGAGACAGATAACATAAGGTCCTCGTCCTAAATTTATCTGAGGCACAAGGTTTGGTCTCCAGCTTGTTACCCAATTCCTGTTTTTCTACTTCATCACCTAGAATTTCCTCTAACATCAGGAGTCATCCTGGGCTGTAGTGTAGCATAGCTGCCAGATCCTTTGGCTGGATCCTGCCCTATGCTTTAGACTGCACAGTAGGCACAGTGAGCAGCTTCTCTGTAGCCCTGTTGCTGCCTGCTCAAAGAGTTGTGCCAGGCCGATCTAGAAATACTAGGAGTGCTATCTATCATCATTAGCCAGCTCCATCTGCTCTCCTTTCAGTGTGTCTCCTTTCATTGCCTTCCTTTCTCCAGTTTTGGGGGTAGTGGGGAGACAGTGGTATGGAAGGCAAGCTCCTGCTGAGTTCAGAATAGTGTGGGTGTATACTGGCCATCATCCGGGAACAGTTGAGGCCCATCACTTTGAATGTGGACATTGGGCATTGGAGTAGCTTCTTCCTCTGGGCTCATTCAGTACACAGGCATTGAAGTACGTTGTGTTAACTGGGCTGTCTAGATTTGTCCTCCATAGTACTGAGCTCTAACCCTATCAGAGGCCTCTCCCAGGCTAATCCAGTACAGCTGCATTTCAGGGTATTGTGAACACATGTATTATGGCTGGCTGGCATGTCTGGGCAGCATGGTGGCCATTGTGGGTATTGCCTGATAGAGCATCTGCTGATAAGGAAGCCGTTGGAGACCACTGTTAGCATTTCTTGGCAGAAGACCATTGGGCATCTACCTGTTCCCACGGAAACATGCCTTGGCTGTTTGGTCATGCTGTTTGAATGCTCGGGCATCTGCTGACTTGAGCATTTTGTAACTGCCTTGTTTGAATTCGCAAATAGAATAACTTGTGTATGCACACAACAAAGCAATATGCCATAATTCAGAACCAAAGGTTTTGTAGGTCTAGATTCTTCATTGACACTTGAGTAACCCCCACAGCTGTGATGTGAACAGACAAATATGAGCTGCACTTCACCCCCAGCAGGGTAGAATCTGTGGCTTGCTTGCCAGGGAATTCTGTAAGTACCAGCAGCACCATTGGCCACCTCCCTGTGCATTGGGAACATCACAGGCTGAGCCTGAAGGATGGTAATTGAGCCTTGACTGCTCGTGACTACACCAGCAGGCTTGTTAAAAGATGGGCTTGGAGACCAGTGGAAGGGTTACTCTGCAAGTGCCAGAGGAGAAGCATCAGCAGTAGCTGCTGTGTGCTTTCTCCTGAGAGAAAGCGTGTTTCCACTTCCAAGGTAATTATAATGAACGCCAGTCATTGAGTACTCTCTTGGGATTCTCTTGTGTACCTGCCCTACATCTTGCCTCAGCAAATGACTTCTCCAGCCTGAATGTCATGCTGGTGCAGGGAAGGCTTGGTTTCCACCCACCTACCTGGTGGGCAACCCTCCAAGTACAGTCCCATGCAGTATACTAGGCTAGCAGGCAAAGCTAGCAGTTTACTGGTGGACATTTAGCGTGAAGCAGTCTTACATAAGCTTTTGCTTCCAGCTGGGATGTGTGTTTGTTAGCTCTTACCATACTACTGTCCAGGCTTTTATTGCAGAAAGGGGTGTAATGGTTACAGGGCAGCTGCACCTCTCTAATTTCTGATTACTGAGTACACCTGCCTGAAATTCCCCAGGTCTGTTTTAATCCAGATTGCAGGCTGCAGTCCCCTGAGGATCACCTGTACTTATCTAGTAGGTTGCATTGGATTTGGTGCCTGGTGGTGGTGGTGTTGTTTTTTGTTTTTATTTTTTTGCCTTTCAGCTGTCTGAATACTGACTGATCTGTGCAAATTGAAACATGCTTCAGTAGTAGGAATAAAACATTAGGGGAGAGTTTTAGCAGGCTAACTGATTCTGCTTACCTTTTTATCTAAAGGGTAAGTCTGAAGTTTTGACAAAGAGATTCGTTGGATCATGGGAGATGTAGTTCAGCCAGGAGTGTTGGCCTGTAGAGGAGACTGGAACTGCTAGCTAAGCTAAAAAATTGGGCATTGTTTCCAAATAACATGTCAATATTTACCAAGATGGCTTAAGCAGGACAGGGAACAATAGCTCATGGTTTTCCATCCCGGCTGACAGCCTCCTGCAAAACCAAGCCAAGTACTTCATGCAGCACGCATCCCAGTAATCCCCAAAGAGTGTTGACTTGGCTGTCAGCTAGCTGGTGCTCAGATACTCTCATGGGAGTTTTAAGTGGCACCTTTAAAGATGATATAGGCCTGGCAGGTTGCCCACATCTTTCTCCATTTTTTTGAAAAAAATTTGAGCTTCCCTCTGACCTTGAAGTTGTTGCAATGCTGCTTCTCCTCCCTTAAGGTTTAAGATCATCCCTGCTTCCTTGAGTTGGTGCATTTTGGGTCAGTTGCCCTTAAGGGAAGGTGATAGTTTCCCCTTATCACAACCCATGCTTATTATAGAACTATAGAAAATTAAGGTTGGAAGGGACCAATCATCTTATCCATCTAACCCCCTGCTCAGAGCAGGACCATCTTGGGGACTATAGCATCCCAGCCAAGGCTTTGTCTGCCTGGGTCTTAAAAACCTCTAAAGATGACCTCTAAGGATGGAAATTCCACAACCTTTGTGGGTAGCCTGTTCTACTGCTTTACTTACCTTTTTAGTGAGAGAGTTTCTCCTAATATCTAACCTAAACTTGCCTTGCTTAGCTACTGCCCTGGCTGAGGCTGGGAGCTCTCTGCAAAGCAACAAAGGTGTTGGCCCACAGAGCCTCACCAGCCTTGTGTACAAGTAGGAAGCAGGCAAGCCTTTTTTGTTCTCAGTCTTTTCTGCCTAACTAGCCTATAATATAGACCAAGGCTTCTGGTGTAAGAGTATGGGGGCAGCTTGCTGTGCTTTTGCAGGATGGCTGCTGAACTCAGAGTAACAATGTCAGTCTAATCCAAGTGCAGTGATGGATGGCGGGCTTTGTTCTTTGTAGCCCCATTGAGCTTGAGTAAGCTTCTCATCAGCTCCTAGCAGAGATTGGCTCGGCTCAGCTCAGTGGCAGCAGCTTGCCTGCCAGAGGCATAAGTGGCTTCCAGGAGCCCTGAGCAGCTTTCTTGGCTACAAACACCAAGCAAAGTCTGGTCCAGGAGAAGTATGTGGAGGGGCAGACTCTGCCAGCCAGTCTGTGCTTGTTCTTGCCTGCTTGCAAAGCAGCATCTGTCCTGCTATGTGGGATGGACAGGTTTCTCAGGGCCATTCTCCTTTGTGCAGTAATCCAGGAGGTGATCTTGGCCATGTCCATGCACCAGCTCAGGCAGGATGCTGCCAGTCCGTCATTGTGCCTTTCCTATCTTGTCTGCATGCTTGTTCTGTGCTGATAAAGGGGATGCCACTGGTAGGGATTCACTAGCTCTGTTGCAGAACAGGAATTCTGTTGTAGAGTAGGGATCACTGCTTTTTTTTTTTTTTTTTTTTTTGTAGGTGCAGCTGAGCATATGACACCTTTCCTTCTCACTAGTTGGAGTGGAAAGGAAGTAGGAAGCCAAACAGTCCTTACTGGTGGGGTAGGGAGGCAGGGTTGGAAGCTGGGAAACACCTTACTCTGAGATGCTGTAGAGACTCCCTCCAGGCCTTTGGCAGGGGCCATGTATGGTCAGTGAACTAAAATGTGGTCCTGCATGGTGCTGGGGTGAATAAGCTTTCCTGTCAGGGCAGATTTTACCTTTTGCTCAGGGAGTTGTTCTGGTTGCACTTTTTTTCTTTTTTTTCTTTTTTGCTCTGTGGGATAGCTAAGGGTTTCCTCATTAGTTCTGGGGTTTTTTTGAGGACAGGCTGGGTCTTGTCTGCTGCATCTCCTACTGCCCAGGTGTTGTGGCCTGGGAGAACCACCCCCACAGGATAGCACCAATGACTTGGAGCCTCCGTTGCAATGTGGAATAGCTCCCATCTTTGCTTATTTTCATGGAGTTTAACATATACTTTGAAACGGATGCAAAATACTACCAGAACTCTCAGACATGCTGGCTGCGATTGGGAGGGGGGGAGAACATTGCAATGCCTTCTTTTCATAGGCTGACGGGGATTGCATAAAGCCTTTTTTGTTTCCTGGTTTGTGCTCAGTGCAGAGAGGCAGAGGATATGCCCAAGTGTGGGGCATGATGGGATGGGCTGGCTTGACATTTTTGTACCAAAACAGTCATAGACTTTGCTGGTCATTGCAAAATTGTTGTTGACTACCGTTTTTAACTTTGACCTTTCAGCAGAGGGTGGTAGTAGGTTGTGTCTGGGGGCAGGTTTCACTGCTTTCTTCCACTGCCAAGATGTCATCTGCTAGAAGCTTCTCTCTCCTACCTTGTCCCTAGGGAGTGATAGGTCTGAAGGAGTCAGTGATGCTTAACAGAGCAAACAGCCTTACTTTACCGCACAAGCTTTCTGCCATTTGTCTTTCTTCCTTACAGCACAGCCAGGCAGGAAGGCTCCTGTCTGAAGTCAGCATTGCAGTCCATACCCTCTGCCCTCCCTTCCCGGAGTCTCCTGTCACAGCAGAGCTCCCTGCTCATTCATCCAGCTTGCCTGGCCTACTTTGAAGGGCATTTGTTGGGGGAGGCTGGCTTCTGGTGCTGGACCTAGCACTGTCTGCACCCAGAGCTCTGGTGCTTTGTTCTGCCTGAGGACAGGCATGTGTCCCATTGCCCCCATCAGACCCCTGTGGTGCTCCTTCCCTGATATCTGCTTTCTTTCTCCTGCAGTGATAGACTGTCCAGTCTGTAAACACCAGTGTTACCTGAAAGACATTGTGGAGAACTATTTCATGAGAGACAGTGGGACAGAGTCTGCTACAGACAGTAAGGAGGCCAACCAGGTATGGGTGCCGCCTACCTACCTTTCCCCTGTGCGTTGCAGAACTTTGGACCTTGCCAACAAGAGAAGATGGGAGAGAGAACATTGTTATGTAGTCCAGCCTGTTTGTGAAGTTACTGGAAGGTCCTGAGTGATCAGCAGGACTTAGCTTTTTGGGCTAATGGGAACAGTATCGAACCCTTCCCTGGCACTTTGTCCCTGGTCACTCAGCACTGTCAAAGATGTTTAAACACTGTGTATCCCCAATGCATGCCCTACACAGAGTGAACGGGGTGCCAATAACAACTTTGCCAGACTGCCTCATGGTTATAGTGATCCTGGCGGTCAGTAGCAGGGCCTAGCTGATTTTAATAAATGGACCAAAGAGCAGGAAGGAAAGGGCCCAGGGCTTGTATCCTTCCTTTCCTCTACCCCTTGCTGCTTCCATAAGTTCCAGTCTAGTACTAACTGCTGTACCATATTATTATCCAGGGTTCAGGGCTCACGAAGTTAATCCCCTTTGACAGGCCTTTTTCCTCAACCTCCAAGATCAGGAATCTGTTGCACTGTTGGCACAGCCGCCGCTTCCCCCTGTCCCTCCCCCCAAAAAATTATTGAAGAATCTATGCACAACCTACATCTATCCAGCAGGTCCTGCAGGGCTTTGCCCCTGGGGTTCTTCCCTTCAGAAGTTTGAGGCTTGATCCATCTTGCCCTAGGCCTCTGAAACTGGGGTCCCTCTATATCCTTGCTTCTCCCCTTAGCTCGGGCAGCTCTTAACTTTATGGCTGTATCTGTCTGGCATCTGCACCTGAGCAGCCAACCCCATGCCCAGATGCAATAACTGCCCAAAAAAAGTTACGTAACCCAACACAAAGTGCTGCAGAATAGTTCAAATTGGTCACCCCCTTCTCTCCCTGCCCCCCCCCAGTCCACTTTGTGGTTAGGTGTGAGAAACTAAGTTATAACACTCTTGGTCTCTGCTTGTGCTGTATTTGTGAGTGTCTAATTCCACATCACATGGGGTTGTAGGTACTTAGCACCCCCTGGGAAATCAATCCCAAGGATCAATCCCAGTCCCCTTGCCTTGGCCTGCCTCTCCAGGCTCTCTGGGACCCAAGGTGCCCTCCCTTATTCCAAGGTTGGGTTCTGAGGGTGGGCATGCAAATTATTTTGCTCTCTCCTTGCTCTGTCCTCAGTGCTGCACCAGCTGTGAGGACAATGCCCCTGCTACCAGCTACTGTGTGGAGTGCTCAGAGCCACTGTGTGAGACTTGTGTTGATGCACACCAGCGAGTGAAGTACACAAAGGATCACACAGTCCGGTCCACAGGTCAGTGATCTATGCTGTGCTCCAGGCCTGACTGCCAAGAATTGGAGCACCCCCATGGAGAGTTGTAGATGGGCTTTTTCAACATTCGTGTCTCTAGACTAGGGACACGGGGACTTTGTCTGGCCCATGGTGGGTTGGCATACAGCAGGGCTGAGGCAGCTGTGTAGCTGAACTGCATTTCTAGATAGCCCAGCTGCCACTGCCACTGGCTACAGCCTCATGGTACTGGTGGGATCACGCACACAGCTCTGACCCTGGCCTGCCCTGCACCTGCTCTGGACTTACCACCCACACTAGGCAGCAGCCAGGCAAAAGCTGCTGTTAGGCTTGGGGGAAAAGTGACTGCCTACCTGTTACCATTGCTGGGCCTTTCTTGCTGCAGCCACCCGGAGCTCATGCCCAGGCTGCCCTGTGGTCCTCTTTGCCGCCCTGGCTGCCTAGCGGGGCAGCAGTGGCAGTGGAGAAGACCTGCAAGGCAACCCAGGCACAGGCTCTGGGTGGCTGTAGCAAGAAGGGCCCAGCAGTGATGAGGGGGAGGCAGCCGCTTATATCTCATGCCTAGCAGCAGCTTCTGCCCAGCTGCTGCTGCTGCCACCACTCGGCATGGATGAGCGAGTCTGGAGCAGGCACTGGGTGGGTTGGGGTCAGGGCTGTGCATGCGGCTTCTGGCTGGTCCACAGTTAGCTCACTCTGCAAGTCTGCAGCGGGGTCTGGGCTGGGGCTGTGTACTCGGCTGTTGCCAGGCGCTGGTGGGGGTGGCGGGGAGGAGCCACAGGGTGTGCAGGCTCTGGGCTGTGGGAGGGGGTGGGGAGGATGCTGGCCAGCCTGCAACAGTTCCTAAAACTGCCTATGTGGCCTATGGGCCCAAATAATTGCATGCCCCTGCTCTAGATCCACCAGGGTGTCATGCTTAGGTCTTGCATACATGGGAGATGGTTAGACACTCTGGGTTTTGTGTAGCTTGAGCTATTTTCAAGTGTTTTCGAGTCCAGTTCTTCTAAGCTGGAACATGTGTGTCCCCATGGATTTCTGCTGTTTGAGCTGAACAAGGATATATTCTTCAATTTGGTTAATGTGTAGATGAGATGGGAGCAGAAAAAGCCATGCCTTCTAAGGGGCAGCTCTGCCTGTTGGGAGGAGGTAACTCTTACTCTACTGTTTGCCTGCAGGTGGGTCGAAGTCCAAGGAGGGGGCACGCACAGTCTACTGCTCTGTCCACAAGCAGGAGCCCTTGGTACTTTTTTGTGACACCTGTGACACACTGACCTGCCGTGACTGTCAGCTCAACGCGCACAAGGATCACCAGTAAGTGGGGTCTTCCACACCGTAGAATCACGGAATCATAGAAAATTAGGGTTGGAAGGGACATCAGGAGGTCATCTAGTCCCAACCCCCTGCTCAGAGCCAACTAGATCATTGCAGCCAGGGCTTTGTTGAGCTGGCCTTAAACTTCCAAGGATGGAGATTCCACCACCTTTTTTAGGTAACCTGTTCCAGTGCTTCACCACCCACCTAGTGAGAGTTTTTCCTAAAACCCAACTTAAACCTCCCTTGCTGCAAATTGAGACCAGTGCTCATTGTTCTGTCAGCACTGAGAACAGTTTAGCTCCATCCTCTTTGGCACCACCCTTCAGGTAGTTGAAGGTGCTGTCAGACCTCCCCTCAGTCTTCTCTTCTGCAGACTAAATAAACTCATTTCCCTCAGCCTCTCCTTGAAGATCATGTGACCTGTGGCAGAATACCATATCTCTCTCTCCCCAAACTCTGTCTGACAATTTGGTTACCATGGTCACTGCAGAGGGCAGATACTTCTGGCCCCATTGGCTTCAGGTAACCCTGAGTTGTAACCTGAGCTGGATACATTCCTGAGGAAGGAGGTGGAAACCTGTTTCCTCTGCCTACTTGACTGGCCTCGTACACCTGGGTGGGGGCTTAAACTCCCTATTGTTCTAAGCAATGTCTTCATGACTAGAAGGGGGCTAGAGACCCTGTCAGTCTACCTGGCAACTGGTGATGCATTTCAAATTGGTTGGCTGGCAGCCAACAGTTGCTGGCCTTCATTGGATCAGGTAAATGAGGTCATAAGAGTTATGTAAGTGAAGGACTGGCCAGGAGGAGGGGTAGCAGCCCTGATGAGAACTCTCAGAGAAGCTGGACCATCTGAAACTCATGCTCTCTCTTGAAACTCATGTGCGTTGAACTGTTTGCCTCCAGAGGGAATCTCCATCTGCCTCTGGATGATACTTGTGAGTAAGCTACTTGAGATCTAACTAGACATATAGCTTGCAGTAACTCTGATGTGTGATCAAAGGCTACTGTGCCACAGTTTGCGCCAAGGTATTTCTCTGATATTGCCCTATTCCAAACCTATCCTTGTAACCAGTAAAGCTCTCTTGTATCTAGCATGGGAGACTTACTGGGAGAGGGTCTAGATTATGCCTTGGGGTCCCCTTGGTTTGGCTGACTAAGGGAGGCCACTGTTTGTGCTTCAGGCTGAGGGAAGCACCCCAAGTTCTTGGAGTGGGTCAAGTACCTTCAAGGACTACTAGGCCTGTGTTTTCCAGAGGGCTCAGGTCCAAGATCAGTACATACTTGACTCCAGGTGGTGGCAGCATTACCCCCAGGCTTGCAGATATGCTCCAAGAAGGGGTGGGCCGGACACGAGGCACCCCCAACATGGAAGGTGGTCGGGCACATTGGGTGAGTGGTTCAACGTAGGAACACCCCTACTGGCTTGCCACATGCCCCAGCCCCCAAACCATTTTCGTTGCTTTCTGCTGGACTCTCTCCAACTTGTTCACATTCTTTCTATAGTTGGGGGGTGGGGGGAGCAAAACTGGATACAGTACTCCAGATGTAGCCTCACCAGTGCAGAATAGAGCGGAATAATTACTTCCCTTGATCTGCTGTCACCACTCATACTAATGCAGCCCAGTATGCTGTTAGCGTTCTTGACAAGAAGGGCACACTGCTGACTTGTATCTGTCCACTGTAACCCCCAGCTCCTTTTCTGCAGAGCTGCTGCTAAGCCAGCAGCTGTAGTGGTACATAGGATTGTTCTGTCCTAAATGCAGGACTTTGCACTTGTCCATGTAGAACCTTATGAGATTTCTTTTGGCCTAGTCCTCCAATTTTTCTAGGCTGCTGAATCCTAGCCCCACCTTCCATTGTATCTACTACACCCCTTCCGCTTGATGTCATCCGTGAACTTGCTGAGGGTGCAATCCATCCCACCTTCCAGGTCATTAATGAAGATATTAAACAAAACTGGCACCAGGACCAACCCCTGGGGCATTCCACTTGATACTGGCTGCCAACTGGATATTGAGCTATTGATTTACTACCTGTTGAATCTGACAGTTCAAGCCAGCTTTCTGTCCACCTTACAGTCCATTCATCCAACCCATACTTCCTCAGCTTGCTTGCAAGAACGCTGTGGGAGATGCTATTGGAAGCCTTGCTAAAGTCAAGGTATATCACATCTGCTACTTTCCCCCATCCATAGAGCCAGTCATCTCATCATAGAAGGCATTCAGGTTGGTCAGGCATGCCTTGCCCTTGGTGAATCCATGGCAACTGTTCCTAATCACTGCCTTCTCCTCCAAGTGCTTAGAAATGGATTCTGTGAGGATCTACTCCATGATTTTTCTTTGAGGACCCTGCCTTGGCCTGTGTGGAACTAGACTCCTCATGATGAAGCCTGCCTGTGCTCTTGGTCTGTCCTGGACAGTGTGGTCATCAAAACCATATTGACCCCTACTACCATATGTTTCTTGGCACTTTCAACGTGGCCAGCTCAGCCCCCCCTTTTTGCTGTGTTCAAGCTAGATCCTGCAGTCTTCTCCCTCCAGCTTTGGGTGGGGGAAGCTGGGCTCTGTTCACCAGTGGCAGGAGCCGTAGCATGAGTCCCTGTGTCTGTCCTTCAGCCAGTGCTTACTTGCCCATGGCCTCGTACCACCCCTACAGGTACCAGTTCCTGGAGGATGCTGTCAGGAACCAGCGCAAGATGCTGTCATCACTTGTGAAGCGCCTGGGGGACAAGCATGCCAACCTGCAGAAATCCACCAAGGAAGTGCGCAGCTCGTACGTAACCCTGTGGTGCCAGGGAGGGAGGGAGGGCAGGAGCCCTCTCCTGGTCTGCCCAGCCCTTCTACCCTATGCAGTAGGGGGTCACACATGGAGCTGCTAGGAATGGCCCACTAGGGACTCTTCTTGCTACTGTCTGTGGGCTGTATGGAGGGATATCCTAGAACTCTTTTCTGGTAAGAGACCTGGAAAGGCAAACTAACCACAGGGTTGCCTGTTTAATCCTGAGGTCTCTGATCTGGGCCTGGAACAGTCCTATGGTGCTGTTGCCTGAGGAGATAGGTTGACACACAGTGGTGGTGGAGGCAAGGGGCAGGTTCCCTTTCTCCCGTCTCTAGTTATGCAGAGATAATGCAGTACTCATGTTGGCTCCTAGCTGCCATTGTTTGCCTTGGCAGACTCCATGATAGGGATGAGAGAACTTGAACTATAACAGTCTCTCCAGTTCTGTGCTGGCTTTAACTGCAATGCACAGGGTCCCTGGAGGGAAAGGGTTGTGAGACTATCTTAGGCAGAGCAGCCTGGTAATTGATCCAAGTACCATGTTTATGCCTAAGTTGCCTGAACTGCGGAAGGGCTCTGCTGTCTGCAAGGTGTTAGACTCTTTAATACTTGGGCAGGAGACCTGGCTGCATTTGTATCTGGGTCAGGGATAACTGCTTACTGCAAGGGTGTTGCTTGCCTTGCTTTTCAGGATCCGGCAAGTGACAGATGTGCAGAAGCGGGTCCAGGTAGATGTGAAGATGGCCATTCTGCAAATAATGAAGGAGCTCAATAAGCGTGGCAAAGTGCTGGTCAGCGACGCACAGGTGGGTACATGCTGTCCTGTCCATCTGTGTCCCTGTGCCACTGCCTGTGGTGTGCGTCACATCACCCCACCCCCCCACCCCCTCCAGTTATGCTGGTGTGTGATGGTAGATGCTGCTTTGTTCTCCTGCAGCCTGGGGAGAAGTGGGGCTTCACTTGAGCATGCAAGAAGCTGTTAACTCACAAAAAGGGATGCAGGTGGCTCTGCATATCTTGCACTTTTATGGGGACTCTCAGGAGGTGCTTCCTTTATCTTGTTGCAGCCCAGAACAGTGGAGCTCTTGGGCACAGGATGTGCCCATGTAACAGTGTCTTGTTGCTTTGCAGAAAGTGACAGAGGGGCAGCAGGAGAAGCTGGAGCGGCAACATTGGGCCATGACTAAGTTGCAGCGCCACCAGGAGCACATCCTGCGATTTGCATCCTGGGCCTTGGAGAGTGACAACAACACTGCCCTGCTGCTCTCTAAGAAACTGGTGAGTGGGGAGGAGGTCTCTGCCAGAGCCAGAACAAGCCACATCCTAGCTCTTGGGAGCTTGACTGGGGACTTTTCCTAATCACCTCTGGTCCTGGCATAGCTATAGTGTATGATTTGGGGGCACCAAGCAGGTCCCAGTGAAGGTGTACTCTCCACAGCCTCCCCACTCTCAGCAGTCTCCACTTCAGAGAGCCTTCTCTTGGTGAATCAAAGGATTGAGTTGGGCACAGCTTGTTCCCAGCCTGGCTGTCTTCAAGCTTTGTTCTGTCCAAAAGTCCCAAGTAGAAGAGTAGCAGCTCCAGCAATGCAGAGAAGATGTGGTGTGTGAAGGTGGATGTCTGGTCCCTTCAGGTTGTGGATCCATCACTGTCACGGGGAGGGGGTGTAATACATGTGTATGTTGATGAATTCCTGCTCTAGCTGGCTGCTTATCTTCTGGAGTACCTATAGAGAAGTTGCTGTCCCAATCAACTCAGTTCCTGCTCTGCCATTCCTAGGTACCCCTAGATTAGAGTTGGTTCCAGGTCCCAGGCAGAAGCCCTATCCTTCTAGGCTAAAGTTGGCATCTGCCTCTGGCTCAGTGAATACTTGTAAAAAGTGAAACAGCTGTGACAATTCGTCTTGTCGGAGATAAGACCAAGGTAGTAGGAAAGAAACGCCCACCGTCATCCTTGGGGAGACCTGTTCCAGACAGCCTCTGAGTCCACTGCACCACAGTTCCTGCACCAGCTAGGAGCACTCCCACGCCAGCTGAGCTGGAGGTTGTTTCCCCACCCATAATTTTGACAAGTTTCCAAGAATTCCTATTGCACGAGGACAGCAAGACAACTTAAGAACACCTCAAGGCAAAGATGCTTAGGCCAGAATTGCCAGGAGCTCTATGCTTGAGGCCCTCCCCTAGGAGTTAGTAAACAGGCCCGTGTCCCAGGTCGAACTTGGAAGAGCTGGGACTCTTGTCTGGGTCTCCTACCAACCAGGTAAATGCTGACCATTGAATGGTTCTAGGATGGGTGCGTGTTGGAACTGAATGGTCTTGGTTTCCTGATGTGCAATGGGAATTCTTAGAAACTTGTCAAAATGTTCATGGGTGGGGAAACTGCTTCTGGCTCAGCTAGGTCAGGGGTGCTCCTTGTTGGTGCAGACAACTTGTGTGGCAGTAGACTGGGAGGCTGTCTGGAATAGGTCTCTCCGAGGATGAGGGTGGGTGTTTCTTTCCTACCACCTTGGTTTTGCATCTGACAAGGCAAGTTGCTTCCCCTTGGAGTTGGATTCTCTGCTTTCCAGGCCCCAGGTTATGGACTGGGGTGGAAATGGCCTGTCTGCCTCTGTCTCTCCAGAATTTTTGCCTTGCGTAATAGTATGTTCTCTCCCTCCATGGCTCAGATCTACTTCCAGCTGCACCGTGCCCTCAAGATGATTGTTGACCCTGTAGAGCCTCAGTGTGATATGAAGTTCCAGTGGGACCTGAATGCCTGGACCAAGAGTGCTGAGACCTTTGGTGAGCAGTGGAGTTGCTGTGCGGAGAGAAGAATGAAGAGGGTTGCAAATGCCCCTGACTCCTGGGTTGGGTTTGCTGGAGCTGCTATGGCACAAGTCACAGCACTCCTTTGACTCAGTTCTGTGGCAGCTTGTGTGTGAGGCATGAGGGAATAGTGTACTGTTGTCATGAGCCTGGTGCTCAGCTGTGTCTCTTCCCCACAGCTTAGTGGGGACCTGCTTTTTCTCCTGGTAGGCAGGTGACTTGCTTTCTGTCAACCTAGCTTTTGCTGCATCGGTGTCTTCTGCAGGGGCTGCTGCTTCCTTATGGTGCCAGAGAGGGTAGATATAATTGCACCAGAAGTTCATAGTGGCTAACCTGCTCCTCCCCTCCATTCTCAGGAACAATTGTGTCAGAGAGGAATGTTACCCTGCCAACACCAGCACCCAATGCCCAGCCTGCGCAGACCCAGCGTGCCAACGCCACTGGCCCAGCAGCAGGAGGAGCGGCGAAACAGGTCTCCAGCACTTCCCAGGTACTGGCACCTCTTAAGAATGTCTCTCCTATGGTCCCAAGCCGGCCCCGGGCTGCTGTCCCCCAGAGCCAGCCTCCACCTCTGCAGCAGCAGCCGCCGATGCAGTCTCCCCGGATCCTGACGGCCACCACGGCCCCCCTGGTAAACACCGGCAGCACCGTCGTACAGCCCCTACAGGTCCAGCTAGTGCAGCAAGGCGGCCTCCTGCAGATGAATGGCCAGCAGCAAGTCATGGGTCAGCTGGTGCTCGTCCCCCAGGTCAATGGGACTCAGGTGGGTGCCAGCTCCGGCTCCTGCCTAGCCTTGTACCAGAGGTGGTGGGGAGCTCCTCCCCATGGTGGGTGTGGTGACTGTGGGGTGGCTCAAGTATCAAGTTCTTTCCTGCCTGGGGTGGGTGACCGGTCCTCTTCTTTCCCCTGCAGGGTGTGCAGCAAGTCACTGTGCAGTCCAGTGTTGTGAGCAAGGGTCAGTATGCCCCGGGACCCCTGCTACTGCCCTCTAACCAGGTGGGGCCAAAACGGATTGCTGCTGCTGCTGCCACTGCATCCCCTGACTCGTTCAATACTGAAGGCAATGCTCAGGCATCCTCCACCACACAAGTGAGCAGGGCTGGTGAGAGGCTGGGCTGGTATTGGAGGGGATGTGCAGGAGCCTCAGTTGAAGGTAGAGGCTAGAAGAATTTGGGAAGATGAAGTGCTGCTTGCAACATATCATGTAGCTACTCAGAAAGGAGCAAAAAGGGGGCTGCAGATTTGGGGTGGAACAAGCTTAGTCTGTCATACCCTGCTTGTTTACACCTTGCAGTATGTTTTTCATTTGTTGCTTTGTATATTCTCTATTTCTCCTTGTGCACAAGGGGTGCAGCTGATGTTTGGGCAGGGTGGGATAGCTGCTGGGACTGGTAAAAGTGGGTTGGCAGCAGAGGGCTGCTGGGAGGGAAGAGGGAGCCTTGGGACAGGACTGGCAGTGGAGTTCTTGTGGTTAAAGGAGGGGACAACTTGGGATAAACTTCCCATAACATGCTTTCCTGCTCACTTGCAGCCCATGGACACTCATGATGAAGGCTATTCCAACTCTGAGCTAGGTGAGTGCCTGTGGAGGGAGGGTGGGTCCTGGGATGTCCCGTGCTGTGGGGCCCTACACTGCTGCCCAGCTGAGGAAATTAATCCCTAGTAGCAGTGTTTGGCTGATGGTGTAGCTGGGGTCCTTCAGGAAGGACTGGGGATATTGTGAGTGACAGGGAAGAGTTTCCTGTTGCTGGTGTTGCCTCTGCCTCTATGGTGAGCTCATGGAGCTGGGAGTTCAAAGCCGAGTTGAGCTTGGAACTTGGGGTTGTTTCCCCAACACCCTCCCCATCCTTCCCCTATGGGGCTCTTCTGGTCTTTTTGTCCACTTCCTGCTTCACAGCCATGCCTTCTCCAGCAATTGGCTGGTGTCTTCTGGGGTGGGCAGCCCTTTCTCCAGTTGCTCTCTTGGGGTGGGATGAGCTTCCTCTCCACCTCCAGGGTCAGCTTCTTTCCTACTCACCATACCTGGAAGCCTGTCTAGAGCAGTCACGTGGTCAAGGACCATGGCTGGTGTGTAGCCACTTCCAGTGTTATGAGATCAGAACAGGGTGGAGAGGGCATGCTTCAGGTGACTGTTTCTTAACATCTGTTCTGCATTTATTTTCCAGCAGATGGTGCTTTCTCTGGAAGGGCTGAAGCTAATGTATCAGGATTGAAGAGGTGAGTCCAGGAGTGATGCTGCATAGGGTGAGGAAGGGCCAGGCCTCCTTTACATGGGGTGCTGGCACCCTGCATTGGCCAAGGCACACTTCTGAGCCCTCTGCTGTCTCTTTCAGGACCAAGGCAACAGATGGTGATGTGAACAGCATCATGCGTAAGGTGCCACGTGTCAGCTTGGAGCGCCTCGATGTGGACTTGACCGCTGATAGCCAGCCACCTGTCTTCAAGGTTTTCCCTGGCAACACCAATGAGGACTACAACCTCATTGTCATTGAGCGTGGGGCCCAGCAGGCCACTGCCCCACATCCTGGAGCTGTGGTTAAGGTCAGGACCATCATGAGGAGAGGCAAAGAGATGGGATGCAGTTCTATAGATGGCCGTGTACAGAGAGCGTGGGTGTCAGGTTCTGGGGACTCTTGGTCCAACAAATACGTAGCAGCATTTCGCTGGCTTGGGGAGTAGGTTTTGGGCACTATGCAGTTAATCAGCAGGTATATCTGGAGTGCTCGCTATCCTGTATAAGTTTTTGGGGCTCAGTTTCAGCAAGGGTCTAGTTCAGGGGTAGGCAGTGTTTTTGGCCGGAATGCTGAAAAAATCACAATGTCTACCTTAGAAGGTGCTGGAGTGCCGGCATGCCAGAAAAACAAAATGAGGGCATGGGGGTACATTGCGGTGCGTCTTGCCTATTAGTATATTTAATAATCATAAATGTTGCCTGTATTCCTTTTTTGTTGAGCATGTTGCAATGAGAGAGAGAGAGAAAAGAGAGAGAGGAGAGAGAGAAAAAGGAGAGCAGAGAGAGAACCAGGCACACGGACATGGAGAGCCACATGCACATATGCAGAGAACCAGAACAGACGCATGTGTGCACACGTCCACAACCAGACACGTGTGCGACACAAAACCAGACAGAGATGGACAAAGACACAGAACCAGATGCTGGGCTCAGAGTGGGAGCAGGTGGGCCTAGCTGTTGCCAGCCACAAAGCCCGGGCTGCTCCCAGCAGGCAGCTGGGCAGCTGCAAGCAGACTGGGCTCTGTGGTTAGCAGCAGCTATCCAGAGCCTGGGCTGGTTGCAGCCAGGAGGCTGCAGACATCTGCTCCAGGCTCCGGCATCAGCTCCATACTGGCGGGTGCACATGTGCCTCAGAGCGGATGGTGGGGATAGGGCCTGAGGCAGCACAGACCTCCTGCTATCTGCTGTGAGGTCCATGTGCAGTCACTGCCAGCATGGACCTGATGCCAGGGCTGTGGAGCCCGGTGCAGTTATTTGCAGCCTACTTGCTGCCTGCTGCAGCTGCCCAGAGCCCAGGTTGGCTACAAATGGCTGTGCCAGGCTCCAGAGCCCAGTCACCAGCTCTGTGCCAGCAGCAGGGGAGTGGCCGGGGTCGTGCTGCCTCAGGCCCGCTCCGAGGCATACATGCACCCGCTGGTATGGAGCTAATGCTGGAGCCCAGAGCAGATGTTTGCAGCCTCCTGGCTGCAACCGGCCCAGGGTCTGGGTAGCTGCAAGCAGACCAGGCTCCGTGGTTGGCTTGCAGCCGCCCAGCTGCCTGCTGGGAGCAGCCCATGCTTCGTGGCTGGCAGCAGCTGCCTAGAGCCCAAGCTGGTGGGGGCGCACTGAGCAAAATGGCATCGTGTGCTGTGCTTGGCACATGTGCCGGGGGTTGCTGACCCCTGGTCTAGTTGCTCAGAGGTGTGCTGACACTTTTTTTGTTTTGTTACTACCAGGAGGAGCAGATGGAAGCAGCAATTGAGGAGCCAAAGGACACCAAACCAGTCATCTTATCCCACGATGCTGAGGGTAATGTGCCCCGCCTCATCTCCCCAAGCGGGAGCAGCAGTTCTGGCCTGGATGTACAACCAGCCCACAACCAGGATGGTGGCTTAGAGGCAACCGACTCGGCACGCTGCAAGGTCTGCCAGAAGGCTGGCTCCGTGGTGATGTGTAACCAGTGTGAGCAATGCTACCACCTGGACTGCCACCTCCCTGTGCTGCAGGAGATTCCTAGGTACTTACCTAAGAGGTCTACTGGGTACTGACCCTGCCATGCTGGTCCAGTGCGTCTTTCTCTAATGCATCTATATCAAGAAGGTTGTGGTATAAGGTGCCTGCAAGACATGTTCCATGTCTCTCTTCCAGCCCAGCAGGGAGAGTGTGGATTCCTATCTGCAGTGCAGGGTCTGAAGGCAGTCTGGCCATGTCCCTGTACAATGGGTTTGCCTTTTGGGATTGGAGTCGGGGGAAGATCTTGGGGCCAGTACACCTGGGTTTTGTTGTGGGAGGGCAGTCCTCTGCCTCTAGTAGGTAAGGGCTGAGAGCCATAATTTCATAGTTGGTGGGGTCGGAAGGGACCTGAGCAGATCATCAAGTCCGACGACGATCCCCCCCCCCCCCCCCCCCGCGGCGCGAAAAAAAAGACGAGCAAAACAACCACCAGCCTTCTTTTGAAGACCCCGAGGGTAGGAGCGAGCACCACTTACCTTGGAAGGTGCTTCCTGCTCCTAGCCCCCCTGACTGTGAAGTAGTGCCTCCTGATATCTAGCTTGAATCTACTCTCCGTCAACTTTATGGCCGTTATTCCTTGTTACTCCCAGTAGTGCTCGGGGCAACAGGGACTCTCCCATTGCTTGCTGGTCTCCCTTGGCCAGTTTATAGACAGCCACCAGATCCCCTCCTAGCCTTTGACCCTGCTCAGGATGCCTGGGTTCTGTCCCTGTCTCTGACACACAGATGCTGCCAAAGAATCCTGTTTCCTTTCCATTGGAGTCCCTGGGAGTCTGGCTGAAGGTGACTTTTGGGGATGATGCTCACTTCTTTCTTCTGCCCCACAGCCAGGAATGGAGATGCCTGTTGTGCCAGGACCTATCGGCATTTGGTGATGAGGACGGCACCAGCTTCCCCACTTCGGAGGGTCCTCAAAAACTCTCTCCCTCGGATCAGCAGGTGCATGGAAGAGGGCCAGTCTGGTGTTCTGCAGGGGCTGAAGTTGGAGGGAGGGTCAAGATGGCATTGGGGAGCTTTTCCCTGCCCACAGCAGGAAGAAGTTGGAGAGGGACTGAGTTCTCATATTTTACTTGGAGTGGCCTAGCAACTGTACTGGGTCCAGGCTGTGGTCCCCTACAGCTGGTCCCAGATTTTGGCTGCCCCTGCTCAGCAGGGAGGG